CTTAATTTTGGGCGTCAGGTATTTTGTCCCAGCAACGAGAGAAAAGTAACCAAGACAAACCCCCTCAGACACAGGTTTCCAAGTTATCACACTGCGTGCCAAGGAGCTTCCAGAAACAATTCAGAGGGGCCACTCAGGAGAAGAAGGGACCCAAGATGGCGGCCACTCTGAGGAAGGCGGCTGCATAAGACATCAATGTTACTTTTGAAGATTAACAAAAGATAAATAAATTTGCAGGACATTCGAGTAGAATCACAGAGCTAAAGGAAGAAATAGAAGTAAAAAAGAAGCAACTCCAGAATTTAGAAGATGCTTGTGATGACATCATGCTCACAGATAATGACTACTTAATGATACCTCATCAAATCAGTGATGTTTTCATTAGCTATTCTCAAGAAGAAACACAAGAAAGGTTAGAAGAAGCAAAGCAAAATTTGCAAGGAGAAACTGACGCCTTAGAATCCAGAGTAAAATCAATTCAGCGGCTGTTAGCAGATTTGAAAGTTCAATTATATGCAAACTTTGGCAGCAACATAAACTTTGAAGCTGAGGAAAGTTAAACATTTTATGACTCATTTTTTAATTTGTTTAATATACTTGAATATTGCTTAAAATGATAATTTCCCTTCTTCAAATGACATGAAAAGGAAAAGTTTTTTTAAAATTTTCATTTATTTAATGGAAACTTGCCTATTTTCACATGCCTTTGCTTATTTTAGATTTTTAAAAGAAGGCAGTTTTCATCTCTGTATTTTACATAATGACTATGTCAAGTCTAAGGGTTTTCTGTCATATTATTAAAATCAGTCAAGCAAGAAAAGGGAGAAGAAGGGAAGAATCAAAAGTCCAGGCCAAGTCTTCATCCTCTCACCACTCTATAACCACAGGCAGCTTTGCTTTTACTTTACTGGGGTTTTTGTTAGGATTTCATGTGGCAAAGGATGTCTCTGCAAATAGTCTGGGAATTTTTTGCTAAAGGTTTGGCTGTAAAGGACGTACAGGGCATATGGGAAAGGAAGAGGGCGCTGTAGTACACTTGGAGGGTTTCTGAACTTGCAGGCACTGGAGAGGGCTTCTAGGAATGCTGAGTCCCTGTTACGGACGGGAGTCCCTCAGGTAGGGAGGACGAGGATAGCGAGCTGGGCTGAGAATCACTGGTTTGAGATACAGTACTTGTATTAAATTTTCTGAAGGCAGGGAAGGGGCTTCAGAAATGGGGAAAGAGGACTAGAAGAAGGGGAAGTAAAAATGATTCGGATGTGACGTGTACATACCATTTCCCTAAGAGGAACATAATTATTTTGTATCGCAAACATATACCCATAAAAAAAATGACAAAGCCAGGAACAATGATGAATGCCTATAATCCCAGCACTCTGGGAGTCTGAGACAGGAGGATCACAAATCTGAGTCCAACATGGGCAATTTAGCAATTTAGACTCTGGTACAAAATGAAGGAGCCAGGCATGGTAGCACATGCCTGTATTCCCAGCACGCAGGAGGCTGAGACAGGAGGATCACCATGAGTTCAAGGCCAGCTTGGACTATATAAAGTGACCCTGTCTCAAAAAAACCAAAGCAAACCAAAACCAAAGCAAAACAATGAAAATGCAAGAACAAAAGAAAGGACCGGGAATGTGACTCAGTGGGAAGGCTCTGGGTTCAAATATCTAAGGCTAAATCTAAATCTAAATCTATACTGCTGTTCAGAAAACTAGATATTGACAAGCAGAAGAATGAGATGGTACTCTTAAACTATGTACCAAAATCAACCAAAATTAATTAAAAACTTAAACTTTAGATCTGAAGCCATAAAACTACTAGAAGAAAACAGGAAAAATGTTCCTTGACATTGGTTAGGCGAGCTGGGCTGAGAATCACTGGTTTGAGATACAGTACTTGTATTAAATTTCCTGAAGGCAGGGAAGGGGCTTTGGAAATGGGGAAAGAGGACTAGAAGAAGGGGAAGTAAAAATGATTCAGATGTGACATGTGTACAGGTGGTGAGCCTGTGCACACATACTGCATCTGGCTGTTCACACCACTGAAAGCTCTAAAAGGTTCGCTATCACTGGGTTAGGGAAACTGAACTTTTTGATGTGACACTAATCATACACAAAAGGCACTGAGAGCAGAAGCGAAACAAAACAAAACAAAAAATCTCCAAATAATATTATATCAATTTCAAAAGATCTATGCAGCAAAGGAAATAAGCAAGAGTGCAAAGGCTACCTACAGAATTGAAGAAAATGCACGCAAGCTTTTAAACTGCTAAGGAAACATCCAAAACACAAAAATATATAAGGAACTCACAAAACTCAATAGCAAAGGAAAAATAAAATAAAATTTAAAATGCCAATGAAAAATGGGCAAAGAAAATGAGCAAACATTCCTTCAAAAGAGGACATGCAAAAAGTATATGAAAGGGTGCTCAATGTCCTTAATCAGAGAAATGTAAATGAAAACCACAGTGGAAAAAAAAAATGACTTCATCAAGGTTGCAGGATACAAGATCATTATACAAAAATCAATTATATACCTTAAAAATAAAGAAACAATTCCACTTATAATAGGATGGAGAAAAATAAAATATTTAGGAATAAATATAATGAAATAGGTGTGAGACTAGAACATTGCAAGTTACATTGTTGAGAAAATTAACAAAGACCAAAGTAAACGGAAAAATATTCTGTATCCAATAGATTAGAAGTCTTAATACTAATAAGATAAGAAAAACTCCCCAAACTGATTTACAGATTCAACACAAAATATACCAAAATCCCAACTCCCCTTCTTATGGAAATTAGCTGATCCCAAAATTCCTGCAGAAATTTAAGGAACCCCAAAATGGCCAAAATAATCTTCAAAAGGAACAATGAAGTTGGAGGGCTTCCACTTTTCAATTTTAAAACTCACTATGAAATTACAGTAATCAAGATTATGAAGGGCTGGGGATTTAGCTCAGCGGCAAAGCGCCTGCCTGGCAAGCGCAAGGTCGTGAGTTCGGTTCCCGGTACCGGAGAAAAAACCAAAAACAAACAAA